TGGCAAAATAATAATAATTTATAAATTATCAAGGGTTCATGAGGGAGTAGGGAGAGAGGGGAAAAAATGAGGAGCTGATACCAAGGGCTCAAGTAAACTGCAAATGTTTTGAGAATGATGATGGCAACAAATGCACAAATGTGCTTGACACAATGGATGGATGGATGGGATTGTGATAAGAGTTGTACGAGCCCCCAATAAAATGGTTTTAAAAAAAGAGAGAGAAATAAAGAGGATCCGGGCTTTCATAATTTAGCTCATTTTTAGTTTCTGCCTTCTTATCATTATTATTCCTGTCAACAGAACTCTTTGTGTCTGATTTTAGTCTTAAAATATTATATTTATATATTTTTTTATATTTTAGAAAACAAAGTAGATTTAATTGCATGACAAGAAGAAAATGGGGTGGGGGGGAGAACACAAAAAACTTAAATAATTTTTTTTAGGAAGGCAAAAGATAAATGATACTGTAAGGCAAACTGACGCTGTATTAGAATGGGGGAAGTACAGAAGCCTACCATCACTGTCAAGTTGATTCCGACTCACAGCTACCCTCACAAGACAAAGTAGCACTGGCCTGAAGGACATAAATCTGTACAAGAGCAGACAAACTCATCTTTCTCCACAGGAGCAGCTATACCTGGTAGGTTCGAGCCCAATGTTTTATTCACGGCATCATCAGGCCTCTTAATGTAGAAACAGCCCATATAATGTACAGTTGTCAAAGATATACTGGTCATTCATCAGAAAAAGTTGTTGAAGATTGGAAAAAAATATATGTAATTTTTATGAGAATTTTAAAATGTTACCTTCTAAACTGAGATTTGAAATTATTTCTACTCAAATTTTCAGTTCCATTTAAGATAACCAAACATCATGAGTTATGAGGTCTGAGAGCACAAGTTCATGGTCTGAGGGGCACCAAGGTCAATGATATCGAGTGGCTGACAAAGACAATATTCTACACTCCACTATGGTGAGTGTGAACAGAAGTCCTAAAAGCTTTGAAGGTCATCTAAGGTGTAACTATTGGTCTCTCCCAATTCAGAGTAAAGAAGAATGAAGACAATCAAAGGCACGAGAAACTACTAGTCCCAAGGACTAGTGAACCACACAGACACCAGCTTTGGTGACCTTAAGAGCAGAAGAGCTAGATGGTTCCCAGGTACCACTACCATCGTTCTGAAAGGGATCACATTAGAAGGTCCGAAATAGAAGGGAGGGAGTGGGGGAGAATGTGGAACAAAATTCAGAATCATAAAACAGACCAGGTTTATTGGTAGGCTAGAGACAGGTGGAGCCCCTGAAATTATATCCCTTAGATACTTTTCAGGTGTGGAACTCAACTCACCATTATGGCTGAATTTTCAACCAACAATATACTATAGGACAATGGGTTCTCAACCTTCCTAATGCCCTTTTAATACAGTGCCTCATGTTGTGGTGACGCCCAACCATAAAATTATTATCATTGCTACTTCATCACTGTCATTTTGCTACTGTTAAGAATCGGGTGACCCCTGTGAAAGGGTCATTCGACCCCCAAAGGGGTCACACCCCACAGGTTAAGAACTGCTGCCCTAGGGGAACAACACTGGGACAGCACCCACACCTTAGAATAATCAACCATTTGCGATCAGAAGGGCAGCATTTACTTAAGGACAAAGCTCATAAGGGTCAAGACAGGAGGAATGAAAACTAGAAGCAAAAGGAATCAGTGGGATAAATGATGTTGCCTTGTGGGTTAACAATAATGTGAAGCAAAATGGGTAAGGATTAGTGAATAGAAAACTTATTTACTTTGTATACTTCCACCCAATTCAAAATAAAGGTATTTTTTAAAAAGGGCAAAAAATTAAGTAAATAAAGAACAATTTATTTGTTTGAAAAATTATTCAAATTTCTTGAAGTTAATGCTTCCAATAGAGACTATCATAAAGAATTTACCATCTCCCTCACCATCTCATTTCTACCAGGATATTTATAGACATAAACATAAATATATTATGCATATAAATATCGTTTAAATTTCTCAACTCAGAATATTCGTTTTATTTCACAAAACATAATTTAAAATAAAAATGTTTAAATATTTTAGAGGTACATCTTCAAAGTGATGAACAGCAAGTACATCTCATACTAACAGAGCTGTGTATTAAATTCTGACAGATCACTTGAAAACTTACCAATTAAAAAATGTATGTATATCTATATCTATATAGATTTTTTTTTACCTCCTCTTGTCCAAATTGCTCCATAGAATCACAATAAACTTCACTGTCTGAGTCACTGGTCAAATGCTGAATTCCTGAAACATCTTCCACATGATCACCATTTATATCTAAATATAATTTAAAAGAGTCCAAATATAACTAATTGTGTTCTAATGGAAGTAATGTGCTTTTTTCCATTTTCAAAATTCACCAGTTGTAAAATAATCCCATATTGGGCAACAAATATGATTTATAATTAGTCGAAACCTAATATCCTTATAAGTGAAAAGTGGCTATCAACTGGGAAGTCTAAATCAACCATATAAATTTGGTTGTTAAATTAAAAAATTATATTCCTGGCTGGATTGCAGCAAAGGTTTCATATCCTCAGAGGTTTAAATTAGAAGTATCAGAAATAAAGGTAAAAAGTTTAATGATTTTATTTTAAAATGTAGTATAACACTATAAAGAAAGGGGGAACCAATGACAAGGATCTACATGTGACCTTCTCCCTGGGGGTCGGACAACAGAAAAGTGGGTGAAGGGAGACGTCAGACAGGGCAAGATATGACAAAATAATAATTTATAAATTATCGAGGGCTCATGAGGGAGGAGGGAGTGGAGAGGGAGGGGGAAAAATGAGGAGCTGATGTCAGGGGCTTAAGTGGAGAGCAAATGTTTTGAGAATGATGAGGGCAATGAATGTACAAATGTGCTTTACACAATTGATGTATGAATGGATTGTGGTAAGAGTTGTATAAGCCCCTAATAAAACTATTTAAAAAAAAAGAATGTTAATAAAAATACAACAACCGTAGCCCCAAGTCCTCTTTGACAGTTAGTTATTAGCCCTTACAACATTAATAACCTGTAAGATATCAGTAATAAGTGTCTTATCCTAAATTGTTTCTAAATATTATAAAATGTACTAAATTTGATTGATTCATAGGCAGAGTGGACAAAGAATAATTATGGGGCAGTACCTTGGTGAAGACCGACAGTCGTTTTTCCAGTTTTTTCACAATGTTGCTCTTTGAGAGGTTTTATTTCTTCAATGCTTTCGTCACTCAGAGAAGAAGTGGTATGAAGGTCATTCTGAACAAAGTCGTTTTTCTCATAGCCATTAGTGACAACAATTTCCAAGTTATTATGGTCTGCTGATTTCATCACTATTTTTTTATCTTTGATGAGAGAATAAAGGCATTCATGAACACTCATAATTAGCCAACTGCTGTATCACATACATTTTATAACATCCACAAGTTGTAACGTTCCTCAATTTATCAAAATTCTTTTGCAGTTTTACACTTGGATCAGAGAAGTAGGATGCTCCTTGAAAAGGGGTTTGTCACTTGCTGTAAATGCATCCACACTTTGTGGACTTCAAACGTGCTTTTAGTTCCCTGTGCATCTTCTTTAAACTCTCTCAAGCACAGGCATATTGCTCCAGAAGCCCCAGCTGTGCAAATCGACCCCATGCATAGTAAGATGAGCCCTCATAGAACGTACAGCACGCATCATACCTTAATGAAAACTGAAGGCAAAATTAAGTTGTACAGTTGCTTTTGTTTCTTCTCACCTCCTCATTCTGAGTCTTCCCATTAATTGTTGGCAATTGTCCTACCCTACAAAGCACCCTTAATGTAGTATCCCACAGTTCCAATCTTCCCTCTTCACCAAAACATCTGCCTCCATCCCATCCTGTTTTCCATTCTATTATTGATAGGATATTGAGAGTCTAACTTGTCTCTTCTCTCTAGCAGCATGTGAGAAATTATAGTGAAACAATATCTCAAACTAGTACATTTCTTGAGTCCTGTGGTGGTACAAGCAGTTAACATACTCAGCGGCTAACTGCATGGATACGAGCTCAGAGGAGTTTGGGCATAACTATCTGACAATCCACTTCCAAAAACTCAGCCATTAGAAGTCCCATAGGTCTGCTCTGACACACACAGACTTCCCCTCATGTGTAGAAGGCAACTTAATGACACTATCTATTCTATTTCTACTGAAGCAATTCAGGTGGTACCCCTGGGGTGGGGGTCAGTCTTCAGTTAACACCTCTTCCGTCTGTATATAAGGCTGGCTGCCCCTGTATTGTGTGGTAGTCTTCTAGCCCACAGAAAGTCTGGTTATAAGGCTGGTCATCAACTCACCCCATCACATGCACTAATCTCATACAATCAACAAACAATCCAAACTCACCCATATCTTTTTACCTTAGTGGAAAAGTCTTAGCCCATCGTCCGATTCTTACCATTATCACTTTGTTGTGCTCCTTTCCCGTCTTCTCTAGCGTCTTCTTCCTCTGACTCAGCTCCACTATCACTACTCTCAGCTTTACCGTTCACAGTTTTGGTAGTTGGATTAGTTAGAACATTACCAATATCTAAAACATGAAATTATTACTTAATTTTTAATGATATATCATATACACTAATGCTATAATTTATAAATAACTAATAAAATCATTTTGAACTATCCTATAAAATTGAAAAATTAGAAAATGCATTTCTTTAACTAGAAATATGAGGACCAGTCAAAAAGTATTGCTACTAGCGATCCAGTTCAAACATGCATGGGTTTAGTCCATAGCCATGTTTCAACAAGGCTAGGTGATCAGGGGATAGCTGCAGACATGCTCTCTCAGTAATACACCTGCCTTAGTTTGGGAGGCGCCCTCACACAAAAGGTCCAATCAAAACAGCAGAGTATAAGGGCCAGTTACAGTCGAGGCAGAGGGGCTCAGAGGCTATGGTGAGGGTTTTTAGAATTCCAAAGGGATAATATAAATAGACTTTCGTGAATGACATAGGATAATCATGAGGGCTTATTATGAAATTTTTAACAACCGAAAACCACATTGGTGAGGAAAAGGCCAGCAAAGTAGTCTCAGTATACCTGCTCTTTCTCCGAAAGCTACCCTATGGAATTTGTTGGGAGAATCTTAGATCCCACATCTACCCTTTGAGACGTCTTTGTAGTCCCCACACTCAAAAGAAGAGCACACATTGAGTTCTTTCTGGATGGAAAAACTGTCTTTTTGAAGAGGAGGGTTAGTCAGATAGAAACAAGGCCTTCAGAAGTGTATAGACCTATATAAATTGTTGTATGGAAAACTGATTTTCACTGTAAATCTTCACTAAATCCACAATAATAAAATAATAAAAGTGAATAGGCCTAGCTGGAGCATACATAAAATGTATAAACCTAGTTGGAGAAGGTATTGAGAAAGAATAGCTTCACATTTTGGTATTTTGGTTTAATAAAGGTTTCTATTTTATATCAATTACCTTTTGACTGCCATATATATA